TCAAAATCATATCAATAAAGAAATCAAAATGAAAAATTGATGTTGTACAAGAAGGTTCAGAAGTCGAAAGGAGATGTAGATATGATCGAAATTGAGAATTATTTTGGTGGTAAAACCAACACAGAAATAAAATAAGAATCTATCTTCACTAGGAAGATGAACAATTTAAGTCAAAAACTTTCTGACGTAAACTTTCAAGCGATAAAACCCCAACTTGCCTTAAATGTTGGAAATGTGTATTGAGTAATATTTTAGACATTATTGTGCAATACATTTATCAACATATTGCTAACATCAAAACAAATTTTCAACGAAAAGAAGATGTAACATCTTAAAATGATATTATTTTAGCAGAAGTTAATCGAAATAACCGAGACAGTTTAAAAGATTTCTTGGGATCTGATTGAAATGAATTTGAAAAGTTTAGTTTAGCAATTAATGTAATACGTTTTAATATTTTATGCTAAGTTTGCGATTTGATGATTAAAAGAGCAAAGGAGGCGGGCGAATAAAAGGAAAATAAAATTATCAAAAGTGTTATTTGTTAGGAAAGTTACATTTACGCTTTAGGAAAAATTTAGGATATCGAAGATTACACAAGATAACGCAATATTACATTGGACAACTGATTCGCTATTATTGATTTAGTGGATGTACTGATAAGCAACAATTTGTCTTAATTTGGAATAATAAGATAAAATAAGCCTTTTCCTTTTCGTATTCAGAAAATTTAACGGAGTTGTCTACACTCAACTTTCTCGTACTTGTTAATGGTATCGAAAGGCTAACAACATTTGCAAAACAAATTTATCGAACCTGATTTCTAGTTAGGACCGGAAGCCACCCTGATATGATTATTTGAGTTGCGGAAACTAAATTTCCATCCATAATTTTTAATAAAAAATTTAAATAAGTTTCAACGAAATCTTAATTCTGAAATGAAAATTTAATGTCAATCAAAGGACTTCTTTTAAATCAAATTAAATGTATGAAACTTCTTCGAAACTTGAATTGTTAACAGAAAACTTAATATTAACCGAAAAATCGAAATGCAATAATATTTTCCGAAACTTCATAGAAATTAAATTAAAAAAATTGTTATTGATCAAAGAAACTTCAATAAAAAATTATTGTCAATTAAAAATTCTTATGTAACTTCAAAAAAGTTGTCTAAACCTAATCAAATAATAAAAAGTTCATTTAAATGACAAAGTTTAACAGAAATTGTATCAACAAAAGTAACTTCAATCCATGGTATCAAAAACTTAATTTTTACCAGGAAATTTTATATTTAACTTAAAACTTAATCGTAATGTGACATGGAAGGTGTAAAAATTTGATTATAGTACAAGCAACTTTATTGGAACCTCAATTTCTTAATCTAAAATTTATTATCAATCAAAAAGAAAGTCAATGTGGTTAACTTTGGTAAACTTCAAAATAATAATGAGTAAATAATTCTTTGGCATCTTAATGCAAAAACTTTATATCAACCACATAAATCTTAATGATGAAATTTGATTAATATAAAAAATTATAATAACATTAATTCCTAATAAGAAGTTTAATATTAACACTTCATCGAAACATAACTAAATTCAAGAAACTTCATCAAAGTGTTAATTTCTCATAAAACATTGGATTGAAAGCTTCAATTTTAAGCCATATTTTCTACATGCATCAAACAAACTTCATGCACTTTTACTACAGTCTTAATTTCTAGCAAGAAACTTAACATTAGCCTAAAAAAATTTCAACGAAATCTATAAAACTTGAATATCAATATTAAATTGTGTACAAAATGTTTTTGGTCATGATCAAAATGGGCAAGTTATTAATTTTGTCAATAATCATAATTTTATCGTAAGAAATATGTTTCTGAGGAACTATCCCATAAATTATCGCTACAACAAATTACTCAACGTCTACTTTAAGAAAACATTGAAGGCATTATTTGTAAACTTTCAGACTACAAAGTCAACAAGAAGAAACCTTAGGCTACAATGATGCTGAGTTTAAAAGGAAAAGGTGTGAAATATATACAATAAGGTAAAAACTAACAAAGTATAATTGCGAAAACTGTAACAATTATTTGCTTGTTTTTAACATCAAGATGCATCAAGTGTGGTTAGATATTATGTCTAACGTATTCTTAATAAATTAAGTACTTTATCTAAAAGGTGATGGCTTGGCTTTAATTTTTCTTTAACTTGCAAAATGTAAACAAAATAAAAAGTCATGTAACATTAGAAAAAAGAAACCAATGGTTATAAGTATCCAATTTGTAAAATTGTGCTTAAGTACTCAGTTTGTTTCTATATATGAGTTGATGAAGGGAGAATATTATGGATTTCGTGACATATTCTAATATCAATCGTCAAATCGCTCCACTACTTTATATTGCGTGATTGGTGCACGATAGGTCTAAGGCACTTACAATATCTTGTGTGTTAAACAACTATGGATTTATATCCATTTCTAACAAACGTCTTTGATGAAGTCTTTGAAAATGAGGTTGAACGTCAAAAACTTTTATCAACTTTAATGTGGAAAAGCAACAAGTCAAAAATTAGGAAATTCAACGCTTTATAAGAATCATGGAAATTATAAACTTCATTAGAACAGATATGCTTATAGTCAAGACTCGATGTAATGGCAGTTTTACAAATTGTATGTTAAATTTTGTCATAACAAGGAGCATATTGAATCAAGCTATTATAAACATTTACTTAAAATCTAAATTAATCTCGATCAAAATCCACCCAAAACAACTTGCAGTTTCTCAACATTGCGCAAAACTAGGTGTAATAATTGTCTTCGTGCGATAACTTTTTGATGCTTATGATGCAAGATGAAATTTTTTGTAAGTATTGACAACTTTTCGTCGTATTTAAGAAAGACTTAATAAAACATGAGAACGCAATTAAAAGATAATTTAGTGTTTTTCACCGATATAATAGAACCTCTAAAAAGTTTTAAGAATTTCACTGCATAGTAAGGACACGAATCTTTCAAAATTACATCAAAGCATTTTCAATTAAGAATAACATGGCTTATATAATATAATAGAAAAGACATTTAATCACTTCACTCATTTTAAAAAATCTATTTCCCAATGTATTATTCCTCATGTGACAGCATTAAACATCAAATAAAAAAGTTATAAACAAAAACTTGTTAAAGGATTTTGAAGAATAATTGAAGACACTTAAATTGTTATGATTTATCTTAAAATACACGGTTTTAACATTAATTTGCTATATAAATCAGCACTTAATTGGTATTAGTTCTCTGAAGATCTAATTCTGAATGGTTTCATCAAGTCAAATCATTTTTATTTATAGTATTGAGGTTTAATCTTACAATTAATAATTATGCCACTGTATGCTCTGACTTTATCGAAAAATGTTTCATATAATAGTTGCTTAAAATATGATTTAAAATCGTTTTTTTTTAATAAAAATTTTCGATAACATTGCCGGATAACGCTGCACACTGATATAAAAACAACATTTTTGAGGTTATCTTGATAATAAAAGGTTGTATTAAAATTTTTTTTAATCTTTTTGTTTAAAGTTACACTAAAAATAATTTTTGTTTGAAACATTTTTCAAAATTTTTGCTAGTTTACGCAATATTCTAATACAAAGTGATTTTAATTTCCCACTGCACAGTACAACTTATGACAATTAAAAGCATATCAATGTTTATCCCTTAATTTTATCGAAAAATGTTTCATATAATAGTTGCCTAAAATGTGATTTGAAACAGATTTTTTTAATAAAACTTTTTTGTAACTTCGCCGGGTGATGCCGTGTACTGATACAACAATAATATTTTTGAGGTTATCTTAATAATGAAGGGTTGTATCAAAATTTTTTTTAAACAATTTTTGTTCAGAATTAAATCAAAAATAATTTTTATTTGAAACAATTTTCTAAATTTTTGTTAAATTACGTTATTTATTAGTACGAAACAATTTTAATTTGCCGCTGAATTCATTCTTAAAAACATTATTTTTAAACCAAATTGTTTTCTTTTCGAAATATTATCATAAATAAGAGTCATATTTAATTTATTTATCATCGTATATAAAAAAGATTAATTTCTTCTAAAGAAATGAGACTGAAAAATTTTCCGGTTTGATTAAATACCAATTTTTTAAATAACATTTCTAAGAAAAAAGCGAAAACTTACAATTTAATTTTTAAACCGAAATTTCCAGTTATAATTTTTTTGTTTATTAATTCTGTCCGTTATACTTTATCGATTACATTTCTCGATAAGATTTGCCAATAAAAACAATTAACGAGTTTCGGTTAAATTAATTTACTAATTGGAGATTTGAATGATGGAGTTGTTATGTAACCCTTAATATTATTACTTTCTATCTTTCTATCTTAATTAAAAAGTAAGTTTTAATCTCAATTAAATTCCTTAGCGATTTATAATAAAATGACAGAGTATGTTTTATCTACAACGTTTTACCATTAATAATAATAACAATCTATCAGTGTTTCGTTTCTTGTTTGAAAGTGAATTATTTGAATAATTAAATTAGTTATAGGTTAAAATGAATTATGTGTTCGTGATTATAACTTTTTTTAAAGCTTAAGAAATTTTTTAACGGTTTCAATGACTTTGAGATGAAGCTTAAGAGAATTACACAAAGTTTGAACTATAAAATCTAAGGTTCACTTTCTTTGAAATCTCAAGTATTTCTTCGAACTCAATAGAAATTCCAAGAAAGTACCGGAGCGCTAAAACGTGAACCACGGGGGCTCCTCTCTCTCTCAACATCCTGTGAACATCGATATACACACGAATAAGAAGAACAGAGCAGATGTTCATAGACGTACGAACGGCACACGACCCGATTTTTTAACCGAAAACTATGCAAATTTCCTAATACCTAAATAGCTATTCTCCCTATTTTTATTCAAATAAAATTTTATTCACGTGTCACGCGCCTTGTGTATGAATATAAAGATAAAATTTACCTGCAAGCATTCCTGATCGTATCCACACTTTCGAAGAGTTGACGATCCGAAGAAGAAGTACAAACCAGGATAAAGTAATGCGACACTTTACTCTTCCAAAAATAAAAACAAAAATAATAAATAAATTGAAAATAAACCCAAGTTGATGAACTCACTCAAAAAAATAAAAATTCTTTTTATAAAAAAGAAATAACTAAGAACTTTTTATTTTCAAACTTTTCAGGAAGAAGAAATCCGCGGCGGAAAATTTATAAAAAACTCACAACACACACGCGATATCATTTTATACTTTATTTTTTAAATATTATAAACGGATTTAGTGTTTAGTTAAAAACGAAAATGAAAAGACCGCGTGCTTGAAAAAAACTGCTGCTGATTTTCTTCGTTTTAAATGAAATAATTCGATGTGTCCGTGAAAACGCGTGTTGTTTAGTAGTCCTTGTAGTCGCCGCGACGTCCTCCTCAATGTAAATGAAGAACGTATAATACTAATAATGGTAGCAATAATAATAATAATAATAAAATGTGTGACGTGAGTACGCTAAACGCGGACAACATGACCGCACCGTGTTAAGGCTTGGACTGCGTTCTTCATGGGTTAACAGCCAATGGGGGCGGTCCGAAGAGAGGGGATGTGTTCCACCACCCCTGTAACACCTGGGGAAAGATGGTGGGGAAACGGCGCGGCGCGCGGGGCCCCACTTTCGGGACACCGATGGTGGTGGGGAAAGACGCGCGGTTGAATGCTCGCGAAATAAGTTTAGAGTAGATTTGCAACAATTTCAGGCTCCTTTTTTCCTACTACGTTTCCAACTCGCGACGACGAGAAGGATAAACAATTATTTTCCATCTCGCTCATCAACATCGAATCGTCCACTTATATTGTACTTACTATTGTTACTCTACTCGCGGATAACCATAGAAGAAATTGAAGCAGCGGAAAGGATACCTATTTCATTAACACTATTAAATATACTTTCTTTTGAAATCGAAATTTTACATTAATCATTGATAATAAGATATATTTTTAATATTATTGTTACTATTTCTTTCCATTTTTATTATAGTTTAATCAAAACTTTGCGTTTTGTACTTTTTAAAATGGATAAATTTATTTTTAGTTCTACCGGTTTCGGTTTTGATGAAAAACCATCCTCAGGAATCTTCGAACACGTCAATTAATTTAAAGTCCTATATCTATAGAAAATCATTGTAATTCTTAAAATTATTTAATTTCTTTTATTTTTAAATCTTTTCAATTTCTTAATTAGTTTAACACTTATATCTATAACTATCTTTTATGTTTTAACGAATTGACAAACTGTTTATCTATTCGTTATAAAACATGGTTTTTCATCAAAACCAAAACCGGTAGAACTAAAAATAAATTTATCCAATTTGAAAAGTACAAAACACAGAGCTTTTTTAAAAAATAGTATCATCTTTAAATGAGCAATCTCGAGATTAATCACGAAATATAATACTATATTTTTTTGTACAACCCTACCTGATTAAATTACTTTTTGTTCTAAATCTAGAACTAAAAAATACATTTCTCATTACTAGCAAAGATTCAAGCTATGTTTCTTCTGGTCTTGAATTAATTCACATCTGTGATGTTAGGTGGTATTTTTTTAATCCCATACACATAAGAACCCCTATATAATACACCCTTATATAACAACCTTCCATAAAATCGCATAGAATACTGAAATATATAAACCATCTACAATTCGAAATAGATCTTGGATTTTGTCAATGAACCGCATTTTTTGCATCATACACATTAACAGTTAAATCTTTTTTTAAGAACATTCTATATTTCCCGATGCATGAAAAAGATAGCTGTGATACCCAAGATAACCTCTGCACCCAAGGTTAAAGATCCCAGGGTTGTGACTGATTTTCTACCGATCAGATTTCTAAAGCTTTTATCAAATATATCTACTTATAAAATTTGTTAACGAAATAAATCTGTTTGGGCCTTATAGTTTATAACAAAGATTTGTTGGCCATCCAATATTGTTGGTAATCATACGAACCTAAATTTTAATTAACACATTATTTGCGATCCAACATAACTCTCAACCCGACAAAATATAAGGTAATGCTTAATACTCGGTGCAACCTTGATGATGTTGGTATCATGCATACACTAAGATGCTAAAAGCTTGGGAGTTGTTTTTGCTGTATCAAAAAAGCCATACGGGAACTTGATGTTTTTATACACTCAAAGACATTGTATGGAAGTACTAAGAAAAAATATTGTGATGTCTTGCTTGTTAGTTTTTGTGTAATGTCACCATATTTATACAAGGTAAATTTTAAAACGGGCATTCATTGCATAAAAATTAGACGTCTATAATTCGAAATAGAACTTGAACTCTTTGAAACGTATCTTAAACATTAATCGAACAGATCTAATCATAAACGTTAACGACAAAATATTCCTTTTCAATGAACAAATTACGATGTTGTTAGTTATTTTAGTTATTTTCCAAACCTTTTGTCCCATTGCTCACGGAATCTATAAAAGTTATGATAATAGTTAGGAGATATCGGAGTACTTAGTAGATATTCACTAAGTGCGATGGACTATAATGGCAACAATTCTTAGAGAGCCTTCTCTCTAAGAATTGTTGCCATGTATTTAATATGGTAAAGTTGATAAAAATTAATTGATTATTAATTTTGAACATAAAGTGATAAATTGGATTTTGCTTTCATGATTATTAGATCATGTGCTAAATCACCTTTTCTTGGTATTTATCAAATAAATATAAAATTCTTCAAACTGTCGTTCCTACATTGTTGAGTATGTTACGCTAGGTTACGGATCCCAATGTTGGGAGTGATCTACGGTCAATCAACGCGTTGCCGCTTTTGCCACCGGTAGTGGTGAAAATATAGATATTGTACTTAAAAAATGTATTAACGAGAAAAATCTGTTGCTTTCGATACAACCAGGTTTTCGTTTTGCCATACAGATTATAGCAAAACATTATTGACCACAGAATACTGTTGCCGATTATAGTTAAAATATTATAGCTTAAACTTTGATTTACAAATTATTTCTACTTATTCAGTATAACTCTAAACCAGACTAAACCTAAAATACTCGTTTACAGTTAGAATAATCAGGATGATATTGGTGTGACGCTCTCAACATTATGATGCTTTATTTATTATTTATTTGGTTAACAGTTTGGTTAACAACTAGGATAAACATGAAAAATCGTAGAAAACATTCTTTTTAAAGTTAAAGACTTGTATAACGCCGCCATATTTATTAACTAGATAAGTATCAAAACAGGTGTGCATAACATCAAAATTAGACAGTAATGTTGCCTCAATTTGCATACAAAATTCCTAACGATTTGAAATATCTTCAAATGTACTGATATTGTTCTTCTTTCAATTGGGCTAAAAATGAACAGGGTTTGTTCTTAAAACAACTAAATGAAGCTGTGGCTGCGACAAACAACATATTCTAGAAAAGAAGACACTAAAAGACTAAAATAAAAGTATACATTTTAAATACACTCAATGGATATCACAAATAAATGTCTAAAAAATACAGCCAGTGGGCTGGCAGTTTATTAAGGAGGAAAGTATTTTTGTGGTATCACTTTTGATGTTATGCAAAATTTATCTTTGCCTCATATTAAATGCAAAATGGATATGATTATGGGGTATAATTTTAACAGAAAAAAGGACAGAATGAAATTTATACGTTATTAATGTAATACATGCCATTCTTCGTGAAAAAGTTTGTCTGGGTGATTGCAGAAAAAATAAGTAATATCATGTTTCATTTTGAAAAATGTTGGCAATATTTTGCACTATTCGCCTACTCGTATACATTTCTTCTAGTACAAAGATACGAATTTGGGAACAACAATGAAAAAAAATATGGCAAAATATTGTGGTTGAAGCAAGCAACAAATCCATCACAGTCCATTTCCTTGCACAACTATGTCTTACAATTAGATTAAACAATTATTCATTTTTAAAATATAGATGACTTATATATAAATTAGACATCAAAGACAAATTTTTTTATATATTTTTTTTATACCAAATTCATTTTTGAAATAAATTAGTTGCCTCATCAACAATAAGGAAAAATTGTGAACTGTAATTTCAGAGTCAGTAAAGAATATATGTGTAGTACACCAGTAATTCTCAATCATTTTGTAACTGCGGAACAAATATGGTAGACATCAGCATAATTGGAAAGGCTGAGATTATTTAGATAAAATAGAACAACCTAAAGATTATACAAAATCCTTTCATAGACTCTATCAAAGATGTAGCTCTATAGCTACGATGCTATTCGAATCATAAATTTATGACATCAAATATATGTTGACATATTCTATGTTTGGAATGAGTTCTCCGCACCATAAAAATTGATTTATTTTATTTTATATAGAACTTTGCCACTTATATCAGATTCATGAATTTTCTGATCAAAATCAACCCAGGTGTACCAATGCCATTAATGATAATATTAGAGACGATGAAAAATTTAACATTATAAAGGTTATTTTAATCATACCAAATGTGGAGTTGATTTAATCCATAAAATGTGTGCAAATTTTAATGTGACTAAATATTCCATTATAGTGAATAAAAACGGCATAAAATTCTGAAAGCAGAATATGTAAATGTTAAATATTTGGTACATTCACAACCTCCAATCTTGTAATTTTCTAATTTACACCATAAGAAGTGTAATCATAAATACGAATTTGTAGTAACAATTTGAAACACATGTATGTATTAAGGTTTCATTAAAAAAGGAAGACATTTGAAAAATTATCAATACACATTTTACAATAAAATTTAATCCTTAAACACCTGAACAAACGATTTCTCATTGCGTCACCTTCTTGGAATAATCGAATTTGATGCTTGAAAGACAGTATGCAGCGGCATGGAGTTGATTTTAGCAGCTTGCATTTAGTTTACATTGGCATACCATGCCTTATGGTTAATTTACATATTTTAATGCAACTATAGCTTAATAATAGCTTCATTGTTCAAATAGACGAGAAAATATTTAGAAATTATGCACCCCTTTCAAAGCACGTCAATGCTTGGAAATTTTAAATCCCTACAGCCAGGAATTTCCGGGAAAAATTATTTATTCGTTATCTAATTTCTGAGAATTTTAGTCCAACACATGTGGTGTGGATTAAAACAGCGATCGAAGACGAGTTTATTCTTGAACAAACTAGATCCTATTTGTGTTTTTATAATTTTTTGTTATTATTTTAAAAGTTATTAAGCTCAGAATGAAAGCTTGAATCTTTACTTTATATAATTTTATTAAATATTGATAAAACGTTATTACATGTTGATTGTAAAGTTAAAATTGAAAACTGCAAAATAAGTAACTTACGATGACCGGAGAAATTGAAATCTATAGAATCAGGTCTTTGTAAGAAACAGGGGCTTTCTTTTACCCTTATTTATTAAAACCAATTTAAAATGTTGGATCCTAGATAAATTAATCGCAGGTTCCTATATGAAAAATAGATAAAGATTGAATTGGATATGTATTTTAAAAAGTAAGCAGCGAAG